ACTCAAAAGGCCATCAAGGGTACCATACTAGCTGACCATCTAGCTCATCAGCCACTACTAGAATATCAACCAATGAAGTTCGACTTTCCATACGAATATGTCATGGGTATACGTGACTACGAAATACCAAGGGCCCGGTGAAGGACCTGAACCAAGGGCACATTGGACACTCATGTTTGACGGGGCTTCCAATGCACAAGGGCACGACATTGGCCCAGTTTTGACTTCTCTGAAGAATTTTCATATACCTTATACTGAAAGGTTATGTTTTGACTACACCAATAATATCGCTGAATAAGAAGCTTGTATCTCGGGGCTAGAAGTTGTTATAGATCTAAGAATCACACATCTCAAAGTATTTGGAGACTGCGCACTAGTAATATACCAAGTCAATGACGAATGGGGAATTAAACATCCCAAATTGATTCCATATCGGGATCATGTTTTGAATCTAGCTACAGAATTCACTGAGATTACCTTCAGTCATATACCACGAGAAAAAAAATCAGATGGAAGACACCTTGGCAACTCTATCAGCCACGTTCAAAGTAACTTGTCCAGACCACGAGCCGCGTATTACAATCAGACATTTTGAAGAACCTGCATATTGCCTTGCTACTGAAGAGGGAACGAATAATAAGCCTTAGTTCTATGACATCAAGAGGTACCTTGAGAAACAAAAGTATCTAGTAAATGCCTCCATCATTGACAAGCGAACTCTGCGGAAGCTGGCCTCAAAATTCTTTCTGAGTGGTAACGTGTTGTACAAAAGAAACTATGATATGGTGTTACTCAGGTTTGTGGAGAAACAGGAAGCATATATACTTATGAGATAAATCCATGAAGGTGCTTTCGGAACACATACAAATGGACATGTCATGGCTAGAAAAATCCTATGAGAAGGATATTATTGGTTGATGGTGGAAGCCGACTACTACCATTATACAAAGACATGTCACAAATGCCAAATATATGCTGACAAAATGAATGTGCCACCAACTCCCCTGAACATCATGAGCTCTCCTTTGCCATTTTTGATGTGGGGAATTTATATGATAGGCATGATCGAACCGAAAGCATCTAATGAAAATCAGTTCATACTAGTTGCCATTGATTACTTCACCAAATGGGTAGAAGCAACATCCTACGCAAATTTGACAAGTCAAGTGGTTACTCGATTCATCAAGCAGAATCTCATATGCAGATATGAGGTCCCAGTCAGAATCATTACGAACAACAGGTCTAATTTAAACAACAAAATGATGAAGGAATTATGCGATAATTTCAAGATCGAGCATCATAGTTCCTCACCATATCGACCCGAGATGAACGGGACCGTTGAAGCCGCCAACAAGAACATCAAGAAAATCATCCATAAAATTGTAAAGACATACAAAGATTGGCATGAAATGCTTCCCTTGGCTTTACATGGCTACCATACCTCCGTACGTACCTCAACAGGTGCAAATCCTTTCTCTATCGTATATGGCATGGAGGAAGAACTCCCTATTGAAGTAGAGATTCCATCGCTACAACTTCTGATGGAAACAAAGCTTGAAGAATCAGAATGGGTTCAGACGCGACTTAATCAGCTTAACCTCATTGAAGAAACATGCTTAAAAGCTCTGTGTCACTGTCAGTTATACCAAAAGTGGATGAAGAAGGAATTTGACAAGAAGATTCGTCCTCGAGTGTTCAAAGAAGAATATTTGGTGCTCAAGAAGTTTCTGCTACCTCGCTTTTATTCACATGGTAAATGGACACCCAACTACGAAGGTCCATATGTGGTAAAAACGACATTCTTTGGTGGTGGTCTTCATCCTAACAACAATGGATGGGGAAGAACTACCATATCCAACAAATTCAGACGTAGTCAAAAAATACTATGTATAAAAAGCTCGCTAAGTTTGAACCCTAAACAGGCGACTTAGGAAAAAGGGAGCATCACGGGGGATTGAAAACCCTAAAGGGCAATTCAGGAAAAAATTAGGGACATACACAAAAAAATTTAGCCCAGTGGATTGAAAACCCGAAAGGGTGATCCAGGCAAAAGTTAGGGATCTCATTCAGAAATAAAGAACAAAAAGAATGTGATCTAAGAACTGTGACTGCAATCCACAAAGGAAGAGATTGATCCAAATTATTTGACTCAGAAAAAAAAGGGGATTGAAGCTATCAAAAGGATATTGGAGAAATAATAGTAACAATTATCATTTTCATTGCCATTTTTCAATTTTTAAACTTTCTGTAATTACCTCTTTCAAGGAATTTCTTCTTGTACTATCGCCTATTCAGAGGTGTATCTAACAATAAACATTTACTTTCTCAATCTTTCAATTGTGTTTTTTTTCCTTTTCGGACTTGTTTGCAAAATACTACGATTAATTTTTGTGAATACTCTGTTGAAATCATTTTGGGGATTTTACAATTAAAAGCATTTGATATAACATCAAAAAGCATTTTGGTTAGAAAAACATCAAAAGAAAATTCACGCCTATGTGCACGTCTACATCCACGCCTACGTCCATGCGTGTGCCCATAACTACGCATGCGCCTACACTGGAACCGACAATACTAATATCAAAGATCTTGCTGACACCTTTCATCTTGTTCAAATTAATTCAAAGATACCACAACAGCGCAACGTTAGGGAGTTGGTAACACAAAACCATTGGTTTAAAAGGAGAGAATATCAAAAAACATGTTTCATTACATCTTGGGGCGTATACATACATTTGGTGCATATTTAAACATTTGGGACATATACAAAATACTCAATGAATATACACTCTGCGTTCCATATCAATCTAGAACATTTTGCATCAATATGGCATTTTTCAAACACACTTTGGGTAAAACCAATATCTTGGGGCCCTTTGTCAGATTATCAAAGCAAGCAATACCTTGGTTTAGAATTGACACAACCGGTAAAACTCCAATCTCATCTTCGGTCTAGTTATCTAAGACTTGATCACCAAAACACTGTTCAATCATCTAGCTCCTAGATTGTGGTAGGTGTGCGAATTACGAGGTTCATATTATTCATTCCTTAGGTTGTAATGAATACATGAATCTATCTTTATGCCGTTTATCCCCTAGGTCGTGGTAAACAGACAATTTCTTCAAAATATATCCCCTAGGTTGTGATAGGTATGCGAATTTTCAGGGTTATGCTATTCGTCCCCTAGGTTGTGATGAATAACATAAGCCCACCCTTGTTGTCTTTTATCCCCTAGGTTATGATAAATGCATAGGTTCATCTGTAGTACCCCAAATTTATCCTACCCTTAACAAGATCATCTGGATCATGAATCATTATATACATACCTTCCATTAGGTCACTTAGCATTGCATACATTCACTAACATAACTTGGCAGGGGATCGATAACCTTCAAGAATTAGGGTTTCAATATTGGTTTTTAGTAGATATTGCTTTGAGTTAGGGTTTGGTTCCACTTCACCATTTTAAGCCTCATCATCCATCTCCAAGAGTTATTTAAGACATTTACATTGTGTTCTCCACAAGTCAAGATATATTTGAAGATTGAGGTGCAAAAGCATTTGAGTTATGATACAAAGATAAAGAGGTGAGTTCCTTGTGATTAAGGCATTGTTGTCCTCTCAATTTCTTATTTCTTGTAGAGAAATATAATATGGATTTGAGATCGAGGTTAGAATTTTTAACAAGAAAGCAAGTTGATTTAGGTTTTTGTTTGTTAAGAATTGAAGTCAATTTGGATTCATCGAAACTACTAATTGTGCTCAAGATAAATATTAGCTCAAGGTTTCAATTTCATGATTTGGAAATGGTTGATTCAAGATAAGGTTGGAAGATTCGTTCATGTGGTTCACTTGATGTACAAGTTACGAATTTGCAAAGAATTACAAGTCAAACATCATTCACTATTCAAACCATTCCATTACAAAAATACACATCAAAATTCACATTGAAATACCCAAAGTCTACGTATCCTAAACCAAAGGATCTAAGCATTACATTTTCCAATCTTCATGGCCATGCACATGTTGCTTCAGTAATCTTCATGCCCTTATTTCTCGCACCACTCTCCGTGCTTCCATCTTCACCAATTCATGTCCACAATTCAAATTTCATGCTTCCATGTGACAAAACCTGTACAAAAGAAAAACAGGAATTAAACTCACATTCAACCCATTCAATTGTACCATACCTTGACGATTCACAATCGATTCAAGAATCCAAATAAAATTGTTCAGAGAATACAAAACCAAAAAATCAACTTGAACGGGTTCAGAAACTCGCATCAATCTATAAAAAACCAGTTAACAAAGCAAAATGTAACAAACTTCAAAAAGCCTCCTAACTGTTTCTAAACAGAAATTACAATAGAAAAACTTAACCAATTTCTAACCAACATATAACTGTTTTTCAGCTCACCCCATAACTGTCTAATGGATTCCTAACAAACTCCTATAGCAGAAAAATAACCATAACAGAAAAATTCCCTAACCTCCTCTCTTATAGAATTCCAACTAACTGATTCAGCAAACTCCTAACAGTTTCCAACCTTCTTAACTGTTAACAGAACTCCAACTTCCAACCGATAACAAACTTCTTACAAATTCCCAACCAAAACTTTCTATCCTTTAACTCACCCTCTAACAAACTTCCAACAGAATATAATAGAAGAAAAAAAGAAATGGGGGAGATTTACTATTCAGAACAGAGAAAAATCATAAGAAAATAGGATACTCACTTCTCAATCCCACTCTCTCGGCAATTCTCCCTGAATCTTTATCCTTTAATTCATCACATAAAAAAAATATTCATCGCCTCTCTCTGCTCCATACCATAACTGTATCTTCAACATTATCATCTTCTCTGCTTCATTTTGCACCTTGCTTCAATCACCATAAACCTGTAACTACTGCAATAGTCTTCATCATTCAACAACCATCTGCAATACTCCTCTATCTTCATCGATCCACAACCACAATATTTCACCATCTTTCATCATCTATGAAACAACAACGCACGTATGCCAGAACTTCATCAATTCTGCAATCAGACCTTCAAGCTCGTGAAATCTTCATCGTATCTTCAAAACTTCTTCGCGCTACTGCAACAAAACAACAACAGCATGCATTCATTAATTCAGCCATGAGAACAATAATTGCAATGCAAAAGAAGAGGGAGAGACTCGCAGAAGAGGAACGAGAAGACTCGTTGGAATGAAGGCTTACCTATATTAGTTTATTCTATGGATTTCTACGAGCGTCCTCATCGTCGGAGCTACTCCGGTAGGTGAGTACCGAACTCCCTCATTCTTAATCCTTTGCTTTAATCTTCATGTCATTATGTGGAATGGAGCGCTGCGAACCATAACCTCAAAGAACTGAGTTCTGAAGTTTCATGTATAACATTTAATTTCAGTTTGAACAACTTAGGGTTTAGGCATCAATTTGGTTTATTTGGTGTTTATCTGTGGTTTTGATGATGGATTCGTAATCAGAGCATCAAAATATATAAGATTTGTGTTTGTGTCTTGGTGATTATCGAAGGTTAGTGGTGGCGACGGCGGTGGAGATGCCATCAAAAATTGCACAACGAGTGAGAAACGAGCAAAATAACACGAAGAGAGTGAGCTGAGTCGATTTTGGGAGCTGAAGGGTCACAGGGAATGCCAAACACACTGTTTTAGTTATTTAGTATTTTCTTTTGTTATTTTTTTTAAATTAAATCTGATGGAAAATAATATGATGGAGTTGAAGCATTGGGCCTGAGTACCTTTGTTGTGCGCTACACCCCTCTGAGGCCCAATACCACACATTTTTGGTGATGGAAAGCTAGTACAATAAAGGGCCTCAAGGGATCAACCAAAATGGGCTTAGCACCCAGACCTCTGATTGCTGGACTATACCTCCTGAATGAGCTTATCACCCCTTGACTCTTATTAGATTTAGGATTTTCTTTTAATTTTTCTCTCTATATTTTTCTATGATAAAAATTACAAAATCAAATAAAATTTTTTAGATCTCTTTAGTTGATTTTAGGAATTAATTCTTTTGTTTTCGATAGAAATTTTCCTCACATAAACGAAACTAATAAAAAATAATTTTCTCTTTTAGTATTTTAGTCATATTTTTTTCACAGTTTTACCTCGTTATTCTTGACGCGTTTGTTCATTGTGCAAGATATATTCTTTTTGCTTTCGATTATATAACATAACAGGTGGTTATGTGATCGAAGCATGTGGCTTATACTCACTTCTAATGCGACATGCCTTATTTCTCATCGTCCTAAGAGATTCATATCATATTATATGTTGTCCTGATGCATGTGATATTTTATGATGCTTTGTGCAGAAACTGTTGATTACGCATTGCATTCGCAACACGCGTTTGCTTTTATCTTAGTTGGATATTATTTCTGACTTTGTTTGTTTGTTGGTGAAGCTTGCTCGACGCATACTCCTTACTTCTCCATTGCTTTCTTCTGCTTTCAACGATTTGCTTGCTTGTGGTAGTCGCCACTACTACTTGTATATTTATCAACACTTTACTGCTATTCTAGAGATTATGAGAAGTAGGGATTTACTACTTTATGATGCCATGAGAAGCAGGGTAGAGATGTATGACGAGGATCTTTGTTGCTGATCATATCAGGAATCTCTCTAGTTTATTTAAAGACCCTTTTAGGGAAATTCTGCATTGTGTGCATTCTGTTTGCTACTTGTGTGTGGTTTGTTTAAAACCCTGCCTTTGAGCAGGTATTCTGCAGGTGTGTTTACATTTGTGCCTGCACTATTCCCCCATCCCTTATTGAAGTACTCAAAAGGAGGCGAACAGGGAGGGTTTGCAATCAAGCCCCATAATTTTGTCCGTGTTATCCTTAGCTCGTGACGCACCATGAAGCTTCAGAGTTGTGCCTGCTCTTGTTATCGAGTCGTCAAGTGGGGAAGGGTTCCGCAATCGAACCCCCACGTTTTGTCAGGAGTTCACATTGGCCGATGTTGATACTTCGTGATCGTTCATATTTCCTTTTGTCGTCTACCTTGATCTTCTATATCTTGGTTAGGTGTTCAGTCGCTTTGGACGTCACATTTTTGTTTTTTCATCTCATTCCCGCTTGTTTGCCTCGGGTGATACGCTCCCCTTGGCTAAACATTTAGCTTCTTTTCCTTAATATTTTATGTGTGTGCTCTTTCAAGCTGGTTTATTTTATACTTGTACATACCATGTTCCCTTAGGATATGCTTGTTCCTTTCGGATGCAAGTTAGATCTTAGGTGGCAACCTATACATGATAACATTAGGTAGAGATTCCTGTTTCGTCCTTGACGTAGGGCCACCATTGTATGATAACATTAGGTTAGGAATAGGCTAGTCCCCGTAGACTCTTTTCTTCCCCTTTTTGCATATACCTTTAAAACTAAAACTTTTCTTAGCAAATCATAAAACATGCTAATCATACTTAAACCCTTTTTTAAGGTAACAAAACACAAACCAATCAAATGTGGAATCTTGCCTTGAAGCACCTTTTCTCTAAAAACTCTTTTCAGGTAAGGATGTGATTGATTTACTTCTATACCAACGCGTGAGTCTCCAAAGGTCGAGTTACGAAAGAAGGCAGGATTAACATTGTTCATAAAAAACACAAACAAACAAAACATGTGAGCCGAACTATGGTAACTCTGATTCCTCGAAAAGGTTACGTAGGCATTGAGGTAGCGAGCACAACTTTATTTTCCCTACATTATTTTTTTTCTTTCTAATGTATACCAAGTCTTATCAGCCCTCAATCTAGCCAGTACAAGCATGTGGGATTAGTCACTTCACTTTACTTAAAATGCAAGGAAAGTTGCCAAAAGGTCCAAAACTTGTACAACTAGTAAGGGATGACTTTTGTATCATTTCTATACAAATATACAAACTTATTGCAAGGCTTAGAACGATTGGATTGAAGCTGAAACTCTCCAAAACTCAAAAACACTCAAAACTGCCCAAAACTCAGAACTTCTGTAAAATCACAGCCAACCAATTTTTGGCTCGTGTGTTTTGTGTTTAAACACTTGAAACATCTCATACACATCATACCAAAGAAATCCAAGCCATTACCCTGGTTTTGTAACCCCTGTTTCAGCATCCACCATTTTCACTTTGGAAGTTTGCAGCTTGACTTGTCCAGAGATTTCCAGCCATCCTCAAAGCAAGATAAGCATTGGAATAACTTCAGGGAAGTTCAAGGAAGCTCAAACAATCCTCAGGCCTCCATTAAAGTCCCTACATTGCTCTACTCGAATCCAACTGAAGGAGGTATTTTCTTGAACTCTATCTCTCTGAATAGGCATCCTCAAGCCACGATTTGTGAAGAAAAAATGTAGTCCATGTCATAATGAAACTGTACATATCCATACTTTTCATTTATATTAACTATGCTAAGAGAATTTGAAGATTGAATATGCTGAAATTTTTAGGTCACAAATTAGGGGTTCCAAAATTCTCTCTGATCTTTGAGAGTTAAGTTACAAAATTTATATTGTTGGAATCGTGAGCTCAAATGCCACATGTTTCATGTTATGAGTTTTTGTTTTTGTGCAAGCATGTGAGAGTTACAGGTTTGAACGATGGCGCGCGAAGAAGAAGACTGGCTAGAGGACAGGGATGAAGTCTGGGCTTTTTGGCAGCTTTGGCCTTTTTGTTTTTACTAACCACATCTCCTGATTTGCTACTACCCCCCCCCCCCCCCCCCCCCTCCCCCCTTGGCTTATTTGTTATATTTTTCATATTTTTTTCATATTTTCATATTTATTGCTTTTATTTATTTTTTCTGAATAATAAAAATCCTAAAAATAATTTCTTTATTTTTTGCTATTTTTTTTATTTTTTTTTATTTTTTATTATTTATTTTTTACATAAAAATTAGTTTATTTAATAGAATAGAACTTATTTTCTTAAAATAACTTGTAAATATATTTAAAAATACTTAATATTTTTATTATATTATTTATACTCATAAATACTTATTTTTATACATATTTAATTTTTAATATATATATATATATATATATAATATTATTTATTATTTTCTTATAGAAAAAATGTGCAAAATAATAATAGGAAACATTATTTTCTTTTAATTAAAAATTAGGGTTTCACCCCTCCAAAAATAATATTATTTTTTCCTTATTTTTTAGGGTTTGAATTAAATTATTTTTTTCATACAAAAAACAAATACCAAAACATTTTTTTACATAAATACATTGCATTGCATTTTAAATATTTGTATATTTATTTAATTTGCGCAATATTCGATTGAGTTGTAATAATATTTTTAGGTTTATATTTGTGCAAAATCCCCATTCAAAACTTGTATCCCCCCTCCCATAATAATTGTTGTAATAGCTTAGTTTACAATTACACAATTTATCGCTTTTATACCATGATTAGTAAATTAGGGTTTGCATGACAAGAACAAAAACAAAACAAAATAGAAAATCCTAAATGCAAGACAAAAGCATGAAAATGACACACTTTGCACACAAGCACCCTTGGGGTTTCTCCCACTTGGTTGCCTAAATTAAAATGGCCATGTTACGCATGCGAAGTATCTTGGCAAAACAAAACAAATATAAGATCATAGTCCCTCAATGACGCTATTCAAGGTTGCCTAAACAAAATAATCTTGGTCCCTAAAAGATGCTAAGATACTTGGCAACATTGCTATCATGGTCATATGATGACCCACGCTCGTCCCGTTTACATCAAAAGATAGGGTTGCTTACCAAATCAATGGTAAGTCAACAATGTCAAAGGAATAAAAATGCACAAGAAATACATTTGAGTAGGTAGATAGCTTCTAAGTTACTTGTCCCATTTCAAAACAATCCTTGCTATTTTCAAAAACAAACACACACACATTTCAAAAGACAAACATCTTTGTATACATTCTTACGAACGAGAATCATTACAAAGATTGCCTAAACAATGGCCTCTTTTACAAAATACTTTCAAAATCACATCAAACACCATTTCAAACAAAGCAAAGCAAGTGATCTAAACAAGTAACTAAGATCCCATGGAAAACCATGGATGAAAAGGGTGCTAGAACCTTCCCTTTTCATAATCTACCCCCCGAACTCAAGAAAACATCTCAAAGGTCTTTCCTGTGCTTTTTTACCTTTCCTTTTGGATAAAAGAAAAGTCAATGGTGACTCTTGCTAACCGCAACATTTGA